TTGTAGATCCTTATATGAACGCAAAATCAAGACGTGTTTTGCTTGGGACTGATCTTTTATCGCTATCTGATGAAATACACCAAGAAATCTGGAAAAAAAGTAGAGGAATTCACTTAAATAGGTTCGGGTTGGAAGTTTGAAATGATTAAAGAAATATTGTTTCACACGATAAAATATGACGCATTACGAGGTAGTTCATACATTGACCTTCCACCAAAAATAAAAAGTAAAAGATGTTGTATAAACATCAAAAACGTAGATAACAAATGTTTCCAATGGGCTGTTCTTTCAGGGCTATTTACAGTAGAAAAACACTCTGATTGCGTTGAGAAGTATATCAGTCACGTGTCCAGATTAAATTTTAAAGATATTAACTTTCCAGTGGCAGAAAATCAAATACCAAAATTTGAAAAGCAAAATAATGTTTCAATTAACATTTTCGGACTAGATGAAAAAGAGGATGTATGTCCGAGATATATTTCAGAAAAAGCTTCACAATCTACTATAAATTTACTATTTTATAAAAAAAACATTATGTTTGGATTAAAAAATTTAACGGACGAGTTGATAAACAGTACAATAGGAATAAGAACAAAAAGTTCTTTTGTTACCGCTACTTGCATGGCTGTACAAACAATGAAACATTACAAAAGCATTTACAGTACTGTAGTGATGTACAAAGAATAACAATGCCATTTAAAAAAGATAGTGTGTTACAGTTTGTCCATCATAATCACAAACTAAAAAATCCTTTCGTCATATACGCTGATTGTGAGTGTTTACTTCAACCTGTACTTGGCGTAGAAAATAATCCTAATCAATCGAGTACAAGAAAAGTTCAAAATCATGTTCCGTGTGGAGTAGCGTACAAGGTAGTTTGTTGTAATGATTCTACATCATCTAAACGAATCCAATACTATCTTGGTAAAAGTCCAGCTGTATGGCTTCTCAAGCGGTCGATTAACGAAGTTGATAATATTACTTATCGTTTGAAAACAGTAACGCCAATGTTAAAATTAACACCTCAACAAGAATCTGATCACGAGCAAGCGGAAAGTTGTCATATTTTTGAAAAAGCTTTTGACCCTGAAAATGTCAGGACTGACAAAAGAGTACATTACCATTGCCATTTGACCGGACAGTACCGTGGAGCGACTCATAATCAGTGTAATTTAAAATTTCATGCTCCAGATTTTATTCCGATTATTCTTCACAATTTTCGAGGATATGATAGTCACGTTATAGTAGAAGCTTTTGGTGATCCTGAGATAAAATCTCGTCTAAAACTCGATAATATCATCAAATGCATTCCAAAAAATTTTGAACGGTACACGTCAGTTACGCTAGGTAAATTGTTTTTCATTGTCAGCTTGCAGTTTATGGCAGCATCGTTAGATGAGCTAGTAAAAGGTTGTAGTAAATTTCATAACCAAAGTGACCGTTTTGGAGATAAATTTAATCTACTAGCTAAAAAAAGAGTTTTTCCATACCAATACCTCGACGACTGGAGTAAATTTGATGAAACATCTTTACATGACAAAGACAAATTTTACTCGCAACTTAAAAATGAAAATATCACCGATGACGAGTACAAGTGTGCACAAGATATCTGGAAAGAGCTTGATTGTGAGACGTTTGGTGATTATCACGATTTATACCTGAAAACTGACGTGTTATTATTAGCAGATGTTTTTGAAAGTTTTCGAAAAGTAAGTTCTAATAATTGCAGAATAGATCCTTGTTGGTATTATTCTGCCCCTGGGGTGTCATGGGGTGCTCTGCTAAAGTTTAGTAAGATAAGGTTAGAATTACTGACTGACGTTGATATGTTCAATATTATCGAAAAAGGTATCCGAGGCGGTATTAGCGTGATAACAAAAAAATATGCTGAAGCAAACAACAAATATTTGAAAAAGTATAACACTGAGATTCCCTCGAAGTATATAGTTTATCTAGATTGTAATAACTTGTACGGGTATTCGATGGCAGAACCAATGCCTTTTGGTGGATTTCATTGGATCACGGCTGATTGATTTCTATCGGAAGCAGAATAAAAAATACCTGACGATGTTTCATATTTCGTTCAAGTTGATCTCGATTATTCAACTTGGCTACACAAATTGCATAACGATTACCCTTTCTGTGCGGAATCGATGGTTATAGATTATAGTTTGTTATCAAAAGAACAAGTGTTAGCATCACCAAGACAACATTCTATTGTCAAAATACTAGTACCAAATTTGCTTAATAAACGTAATTATGTTTTGCATTACAAAGTTTTAAAACAAGCAGTCGATGCTGGTCTCGTGTTGAGAAACGTTCATCGTGTATTAAAATTTAATCAGTAGCCGTGGATGAGAGGTTACATTATCTCGAACACTTCAAAAAGAGCTCTGGCAAAAACTGATTTTGAGAAAAACTTCTTTAAACTGATGAACAATTCCGTTTTTGGTAAGACGATGGAGAATACCAGGAAACGCGCAAATATCGAACTAGTTAATGATATCAGTCGTAGAAACAAACTTGTGTCAGACGATGATTTTGTGAGCATGAAAACTTTTGATGAGAATCTTGTTGCGATACAAAGAAGAAAAACAAATCTAAAACTAAACAAGCCGATCTACGTTGGAGCTGTAGTGTTGGATTTATCAAAGTGGCTGATGTACGATTTTCATTATAATTTTGTTAAAAATCAACGGCCGGCCAGTAGATTATTGTTTACTGACACTGATTCACTCGTGTATGAAATCGAATGCGAAGACATCTATCAGGATATGTTTGGTAATAGATATCTGTTTGATCTTTCTGATTACCCACGTGACAGTAAATTTCATGACGACACAAATAAAAAGGTTATTGGTAAGTTCAAAGATGAAATGAACTCGAGCGCTATCAAATACTTTATCGGATTACGCAGCAAAATGTATGCCGTATTGTTAGATAATAATAAAATAACGAAAAAAGCAAAAGTCTGCCTCGTAATTTTGTTACAAAGTTTATGCAATTTGATGACTACAAGTACGCGCTTGATGGCAGTGTTAGTTTTATGAGGGCTATGGCAATTCGAACTAATCATCATAAACTCGAAACAGATGTCATTATCAAACGTGGATTGTGTAATTTTGATGACAAACGCTATTGCGAAAATGGCGTAGACACATTTGCTCTTGGGTATTGCCATGATGATAGATCTATACTTGACATTATCTTTTCCAACTGAAATTTTATCTATATTTATAAAATAATGTTTGAAAATTTGACAATAACAAATAGCTACAATAGTAACATCAAATATCTAATGATGGACGGTAAACAAACGACAGTTGAATTTAATAATGAAACATCAGGTATGTTTTAATGGAACACGTGACAAGCTGAAAATTTCGCTCATCAAATCTGATAATAGCGTGTATTTCAATTATATCGAACAATTGTATGAAAAGTTGCTAGTGGAATTTAAAAACTTTCACAGCCCCAATAGGCAACAAAAATATACTAAACTCACAATTGATCTCGATCGGTCAAAGGTGTATTTTATCGACAAAAATATCCTCTGAACAAACCAAAAATAAAAGACTTGTTTGAGTCCCGTCACTTTGTGAGTGGTAAAGTAAAACTTAGTATCTATAGTCGTGATAATGAAGTATTTTTGATATCAACAGTTGAAACAGTAATCATTAGTCACGAGGTATAAAATAATATCATTTTCATTCTAATGCTAGTTTAATTCCCCCTTGTTAACTGAAACGTTTCAATGCACAGTTTAATTTTCATCCTGTTATCTGATAAAAAATTTGTGGTAGACTGATTATTAAACCCATTTGCCGTCTTTAGAATAATCGTATTCCACTCATGCGCTGTTCTAACAAATTTTACTCCTCTGTATGACAGAGCTTATTTGGATGAATCATATCATTTCAACACCTGTTGTTTTGTCTGGTTATAAAATACCTGTCTGTAGTAGTAGTAGTAGGAAAAAAATGGGTTTGGGCTAAATCCCTTGTTTTCTATTACTACTTCATTGGATATAGTTAAATCGAAGTTAGAAGGCATGTTTTGACGCTATGGCAATAATGACAATAGCTGAACGAGGTATGTGTTAATTATTTGGTGCATCTGGTTGCTTGCTGAGGAAGAAAATAATCTAAGAAGACTATTACCTTAGTCCGAAGAACGATTAACAGCTAGTATCGGTAAGGAGTATATTGTCATTCATATGTCAAAATCAGCTGAATACATTAACCTGACGACTAGTCATTCGTTACGGAAGTAGATAAAAGGAGTTGACCTCGTTTCTTGGTAAAATTAACAGGCTGACGTGACGATATATTTGATGGCACCAATTTGATTTTAGAATTATAAGAGCAATTTCGATCCTAGTAGCATGACTTCTTATGATATCGGAATGGAATTGTATGAGGCGTAGTAATATCTGGTAAGACCATTTCTCATTCAAAGACACTTTAGATACCATATTCATAAATTAGCAAACCTTACAACATGTGAGCAAGTAACGTCAAGTTGTCGTACTGCAGGTTTCAGTGAAACCAAAGTCTTTATAATATCTTGCACATTTCTTCGAAAGATACGCAATAGTTGATACAACTTTCATTGCCATCAATACACAAAACAATAGATTGCGTTTAATTCTAGAACATGACGACCAATCAGCAGAACTCACTTTGATTTGTGCAATACATCCAACATAGATCGCAAATAGAGTTACAATGCTCACTGGATTAGATATGTATTCAAAATTGATGTGAGGTGATGTAATTATGATTTTTACCGTAGCTTTAACAATTTTCAGTCATATCGCTACGATGTCTGCAATCAGGCGGAATATATTGATGTCTTGCATTGGGGCATCATGCCGCAGACATGTAACATGATGTCCTACCCAGTCACATTACTCTGACACACGGACGACCAGTACTAACCTATTAATTCTGAGCGCCAAGAGAGGAAGTAGTTAGTACCATTTTTGTAAGTCTTTAGTATCACTCAGCTGGGGATAGAACTCACGACCTCCCGTATTCGAGGCGGACGCTCTGACCACTATGCCACCGGAACGGTATATTCAAAATTGTTCTGTCACTGGAGTGCGTCGTCCTTTGTTTTGAAAACCCTAAGTATATGTTTGCTCAGTAGCAACCTTACGCTACATATTATAATTGATACGGTTAATCATATCATTTATTCTTTTAATTTTAATAAAACTTTCCACTAAATTGTACCGAGTAAAATATATGTCGCTTTTATGCAATTTCGACATTCATAATGCAACATTAAGTCATTTCAATCAGATCACGTCATACATATTAGGCATATGTAGCGTATGAGATACGTTCAACGTTATAAAGCCAGGTGTCTTTGCTCAAGCTTTGAGGAATATTAATGAGAATACGCTATCAGTACTAGGATTTGGTATTGTACAACACGATTCCCAAATGTATAATTCAAGATTCGTTGCAAATATATGAACGTTTGTAATAATTATAATTTGAATAACAGAAATAAAAGTGTCCTTGGTATGTTTCAAACCTAAAACAAACTTTGGACTAATTGGTATTGCTAAATATCTGAAAAAGAGAGATAGATCTTTACCTGAACATGTGTAATCCTCCTCGTCTTGATCTTGCAATTTATATCTGCAAACACAAATACTCGTTATGTGTACTAATCCATTATTCAGACCGAAAATCCCAACAAATTGTAATAGATATATTGTATGCCCTTGTACAGTGCAGCCCATCCGAGTCATTGCTAGGAATTCAACACATATATTAGAAAGGCCTGATGATGATAAATTTAATGTTTTCAGAAATAAAAGGAAACGTTCCCACCAAGATATTACAATCACCAAATGGATGACTATAACGTGCATGCTATTTGTTACGGTCAAATTGAATTTTTGTCCTTAACTCTCCTTTGAAATGCGTCATCTTTCTTTAGAAAATTTTTACGTAGAAATCGCAACATCGGGCTAGGTTAATGCATTTTAAAAACGTTATGTAATGTATCGAAACTAATTAAAGCATGTTAGTATGGTTATTTCTCAAAGAATTAAATAAATAAAATACCAAATATATCCTCATGAATTGAGACATAAAACTCTAACAAGCCATCTACCTATCCATCTACATACATACATACATACATACATACATACATACATACATACATACATACATACATACATACATACATACATACATACATACATACATACATACATACATACATAAATATATATATATATATATATATATATATATATATATATATATATATATATATATATATATATATATATATATATATATATATATATAAATTGATATATAAATATATATATACATATATTTATATATATATGTGTGTGTGTGTGTGTGTGTGTGAGTGTGAAATTTAATTAATTATTTGTTTATTTCGATTTTTCAAAAATGTTATTTTGTTGTATTACATGTTACTAAGATGATAGTTTTCACTACATGATTTTCTTTGTTTAAAAATTCAGTTTATTTCCGTATTAAAAAGGTAAAAAAGACATGATTCCTATATTGTGTTTTATGTGACCTAATTTCTGAAATTAATTCACAACTTCTAAACAACTCTATTTTATTTATTTTTATTACTGAATATTATAGAATTAAATAAATAGATGATCTATGTTATCATTGACATTTAATCTCTCTACCCCGAGGCAATGTAAGTGATCTGCGTAATAATAAACTTGTAGCCCAGCGATCACGTGACCAACCACGATTGTCATATGTCATTTGGGTTTAATTTCCTTTCGTATTAAAGATTAAATCATTCGTAATTTACACTCTCAGAGCTCAAAATTGTTTACAGTGTTTGCATGGTAAATTGAGGTTTCACTGAAAATAATTTATTTTCCCTGGAGACTTTGCTTGTGAGCATTCGAATTCGTGGACAAACACATTTATTGCAAATTATTCAGGGTTCTAAAGCCCGACTATTATTGTTGGATTCAAAATGGAACTTTTGACAAGTCAACACAAAAAATGTTGTAGAAGACGTCATCACCTTTCATCTTGGAACTTCATCGTGATGTGAACTTGATTCATTTAGAACTTTCAGTGAAATAACTTGCATTTTATACAAACAAACAAGCCCAACATTTGCAGCGCATGAGTCTCAGGAATAATTACATTTGTGTCAGTAAAACAATTGCAATTCTGATCTGTTTTAGAAACACGTTTACTTGCATATTTGCAGCTGATCATTAGATTCGGCTCAGGTATTCTACATATTGTAATTTAAATATTTTAATTTGCGTTTTTCGAGTATTATACTAATGATGTGCTTGATTGTATCAAGGTTTCAGTTTTTAATACTGTTCTGAAGTATACAAATATACGGATGTATGTTTGCTTTGTTTACTGCACAATATCACCAAATATTATGGGGACAACCTATGTGCAGAACATGATTGTCACTATCGTCTATGATTCTTTGATATATGATGCATCTTGATTTTGGAAACACTGACAATATTAGGACTGATAAAACAATTAAATATAATATATATGCTAATAAATTATGACTGAGTAAATGTGGACATACGATCTTGTCTGTTTATGAAATGTTGATCATGACTCAGGTCTTTTGAAGCAAAACTTGATGCTCTAGAAACTGGTCACAAAACAACACTATCGCCATCTAGCGACACACAATAGCGATGACTGATAGTTATAAAACCTTAATGATGCAAATCCAATGACAATATTCGAAATAGGTTCAGATTTTGTGGTGACTACGTTCGATACACATACCTATTTTATTTGTCTAAAGCAAGCGTTTACAATACTTCGATCGCTATCGACCGGTCGATCGCGAAGGTAGTATGAGGAAATTACGTAGAATTAAAACAATATGCGTCAGCCAATATATGTTATGCATATCTATGGAAGGTATATAATTTTCGCTTGGCCATTATATTGGTAGCTCGCATGTTGATAAAGTATGTGCACCCTGGTCTAAAGCACACATTTTCGAATATATACTGTAGTTTTATACATTATCAAAAGACTTTTAGCTCAAGAAACACTACCATCACTGCTGTTTCTAGATATTGCGCTCTGTGTGGCTATTTGTTATTATTGAAAGCAAGAGGTCTTGATCGGTACCATGAACGGTAACGTTGTAAAGTGTAATGCAGATGATACAAGAAAAAAAAATAAAGAAAGATATTCTCTCTGAACTAGAAGAGGGTTTACATCAAGAACCTAAGAAACTAATCATACAGAATCGATTCAACAAGCAGATGTATAGAACCTAGTGGTGACTATTTATTTTTTTTTTAAATCAAAGACCTGTTTGGAGATATTTTACATGAATGAGTTTTACCGGAAGGGAGCGAGTGACGGAGATCAGTCTTCATTACATGCCATTTTATTTTCAGCCAGCCACCCGCTTGTGTCTGGTCAAATCATTTGTAATAGTACAACAAAGAACGAAATGACTGCAAAACAGAGAATACATTGTTTCGCGGAATGTTCATGCATATGGGTACACCTAAAATTTTTACTAGACAGTAAATTATGAAAGACTGCGTTCTTATCTGACTCTACTACAGCTTACTATTAACTTCGCCTCTTAGGTCTAGCCGATATGAGTGACGGAAGATATCAGTGCTGAAAGTTAATGTAACACTTTCTTTCATGGGACTAATATGGTTTTCTTTACCACAACTTATAATGTACATATCCGTTTTCCTCATGGTAGTAACATTGCCAAAGTGATTGAAGCTTTACTTGCGTTTGACACACTGAGGGTTCAACACTACAAAAAAGGGGAGCTAGCACATATCTGACTTTATAATAATTTCAGAAAGACGATAATTGATGTAAATAACTTGAATACTACTACTACTACTTCTACTACTACTACTACTACTACTACTACTACTACTACTACTACTACTACTACTACTACTACTACTACTACTACTACTAATAATAATAATAATAATAATAATAATAATAATAATAATAAAGTAGTAAAGTGAAATGAGGGTTTTGGCCCACCACCCCTTCCCACACCTCCTCCCCCACCCACGCCAAACCCCTCATTTCAATTTACTACTACTATGTAGACAGATATTTTGTAACCAGACAAAACAACAGGTGTTAGAATGCCATAAGCTCTGTCAACAGAAGTGACGAATTTGTTAGAACAGTGTATGTGTGGAATATGATTATTCTAAAGACGGCAAAAAGATTTTACCACAAATTTTTTATCAGATAACAGGATGAAAATTAAACTGTGTATTAGAACGTTTCAGTTAACAAGGCGGAAATTAAACTAGCATTAGAATGAAAATGATATTATCTTATAAATATCATTACCAATGATTAATGTTTCAACTGTTGATATTAAAAATACTTCACTATCACGACTATAGATACTAAATTTTACTTTACCGCTCACACAGCGATGGGACTCAAACAAATCTTTCATTTCTGGTTTGTTCAGAGGATATTTTTTGTTGATAAAATATACCCTTGACCGATCGAGATCAATTGTGAGTTTAGTAAAGTTTTGTTGGCTAATGGGGCTGTGAAAGTTTTTAAATTCCGCTAGCAACTTTTGATACAATTGTTCGAGATAATTGAAATACTCGCTGTTATCAGATCTGATGAGCGAAAGTTTTAACTTGTCACGTGTTCCATTAAAACATATACCTGATGTTTCATTATTAAATTCAACTGTCAATTGTTTACCGTCCATCATTAGATATTTGATGTTACTATTGTAGCTATTTGTCATTGTCAAATCTTCAAACATTATTTTATAAGTTTAGATAAAATTTTAGTCACAATGAAAATACCCAAAGGCAAATGTATCTACCCTGTTTTTACAATAGCGTTTGTCATCAAAATTGTACAATCCACGTTTGATAATGACATCTGTTTCGAGTTTATGATGATTAGTTCGAATTGCCATAGCTCTCATAAAACTAACACCGCCATCAAGCGCGTACTTGTAGTCATCAAATTTCATAAACTTTTTAACAAAATTACGAGGCAGACCTTTGGCTTTTTT